CCCAAAATTCCTACAAAATCTCATGTTTAAATCCATATATAGGCCATGTATTTAACTTACAGTAAGTGGGAATCACTTACCTCATGATAGATGATGAAAATGACACTCCAAAATCGCCATCAGTCGGCTCCAAAGAGAGAAATGAGAGGAAATGATCCAAAACCCGATTTTAAGAAGTGTTCTACCCAGCGACCCTTCTTCTCGATCGCGTAGGCCAGCCATCCTCGCCCATGAAATTACTCTACGCCAACACGAGGTCCTTCTCGCGATCGCAAAGCACAACCTGCCTAGGCCTCTGCTAACACGAGCCCATTATCGTGAACACAAAGGCCAAACATAGCCTCATCAGATTCCTCTTCTGCAATCGCGAGGGTCCTTCGCGATCGCGTAGCACAACTCTCCCAAACTGGCCTGCCTCCACAACCCAGCATTCGCGACTTTGTCCAAGCGAATGCGAAGAACAACCTAATCTACCTCTGCGATCGGACTCGCTTTACGCGATCGTGTCGCCAATCCAGTTAGCCATTCATGATCGCGACCACCCTTCCACGATCCGATTCACACCCAACACACCAGAAACCAGCAGTGATGAAATAAGGGGAATTTGTCCGAAACCATCCCGAAATACTCCCGAGCCCCCCGGGACCCCGTCCAATCATACTAACAAGTCCCATTACCTTATCCAAACTTATACAAAGGCTCGAAACGCCACGAATAACATCAAAATCACGAATCGACGATCAAAATTCTTCTTTCAACTTTCAAACATTCAAAGTTCGACGAACGCGTCCGAATCATACTTAAACATTCCAGAATAACGCCAAACTTTACGTACAAGACACAAATCACGATACGAACCTACTCCAAGGATCGGAACCCCAAACGAACATCGATAACACCAAAGTCTACTTCAAATCAAATTTAGAAAATTCTGAAACTTTCAAAATGCCAGCTTTCCATAATAAGCGTCTAAATGCTCCCGGACCACCTGATACTCAACCCGAACATACGCCCCAGTCCGGAATCATCATACAAAACTATTGGAACCTTCAAATCCCGATTCCGTGTCATTTACTCTAAAGTCAAACCTTGGTCAACTATTCTAACTTAAAGCTTCTGAATTGAGAATTTTTCTTCAGAATCAACTCCGAATTTCCCGAAAATCGATTCCAACCCCACGTACAAGTCACAGAACATGAAGCAAAGATACTCAAGGCCTCAAACCGCCGAACGACACGCTAGAGCTCAAAACGACTGGTCGGGTCGTTACATTCTCCCCAACTTAAACATACGTTCGTCCTCGAACGTGCCAGGAATCGTTCTAGAGTTGCCTAAAATCATTGTTTAACACCTCGTGCACCTATCCATGCCACCAAAACCCATGTGAGCATATTAGCTCTAGCCAGGCTGAAGATCCTTCCTTTTACCTTAGCCCATAAGCCTCAGAACCAAATTCCAACATCCGGAATTCTCCACGAGACTTGATTCTAATATTCAAACACCATATCAATCTCAACCCACTGTACCAAATATGATCATGCACCTATGCTAAAACCACACAATGCACAACATAACTTGTATGCCCATAATAACATCATTTAACCATAGAAGCTGCAAATTCACTAACCTGATGCACGCAGTATACCTCATAACACGTATAAGCCGTGATCCAACTCTCGCGACACTGCAACAATGAAAGCGACCCGTAGAAGCTCATAACCGCCTGCCAAATCAATAAATTATGGAGTCTCTCCGCTTGACAAGAACCTTACCTCATTCTGAACTGAATAGTGATATTTTCTCTTTAATATATGTTACATAAATCCGATCGCATTGATCTCAAGTGCAATAATCTCGTCTCACCCAGTACAAGCTGCTCGGGCAATAAGCCACCTCAAACACCGTCTAAAATCTCATACGGTGCCATCAATGCGCCAACAAACTACAACTCGAATATGACCCATAAGGAAGAACGAACTCTAGAAAGGAACCACCCAGCCAGCATAACGAATAAAACGATCAATCAGATGCTATGACCTATCTTAGAGATGAAATACAAAGGCACGCAAAATAAAAATAAGTATAAGGAACTGTACTCAACCTCTCACTGTTGCAGCGTGTAGCCCGATCAACACATGATACCGTTGCGGCGTGCAACCCGATCCAACACATGATGCCCGTGGCAGTGTACCACCTGATCCACACATAATACTGTTGTGGCGTGCAACCCGATCCAAATATGATGCCCGCGGCGGCATGCTACCCAATCCACACATACAATCAATAGGGAAGTACCCATAAAGCCATAATGCTCAAACCCACGAAATGGTCGAATATCGACCACAAGCATGCCAAAGCGCATAAATACAACCCTGGGGAGACGGATAGCGCCATGCGCTATAAATCCCGAGCACGACTAAGGTGAAATGAACGACCTGCATCTCGAGAACTATCTCGCTCATATAATACCACAAGCTACATAGGACCACAACACACGTGTGAATAATAAAGTCATCTCACAACCCACGTGGCATAAAAGAGTTGCACCTAAAAGAGACTAAGGCATGAATATCATCCACCACACCTGAAGACTCTTCCATAAGCAATGTTAAGCTGAATAAAAATATATACGACCTGATGTAGAGCATATATTCACATTAGATCTACCAACGGACCACAAGCCGATTCCGATCATCCCATACTGGGCCAATAACCTTTCAAGGGTCCACAATGACCCTATTCCTGATACATACAAGCAATCGTCAAATCCAGAACAAACCCCCATAGTCCACAACCAAAGGAACAGAGAGCCTCTCAAGCATAAACTCTCCCATTAGAGACAGTACCAAAATCTCCATATCTGATTTCGATCTCTAACAATCAAATGACTAACACATCACACTTATACGATCTTCCCGTGGGAGTTACTCCCATAACCTCCGCACCAGGTAGAAAAATTAGAACATCCATGGATATCAACCATATTATTTCTGTTATGCATTTCATGAACCTGCAATTTAATACACAATGCCTCTTCCATAGTACACCATTCTCGGGTGACACTAAAATAACGCCAGCATACTCTGAACATCTAAGATCCTCCCCGCCCAACTGAGCTCGTTACATCCTTATCAAAATCGAATCGCAACATTGATCCTTAATTTCCAACTTTTATACCGCTCATCGCACCTATCTGTTGCTATGAGAGAGTACAAGAATTTATCATAACCCCTGAACCACCAGTAGAATAAACACTTCATTGGCTAGAAACCTTTCACTTAACACATTTTAGAAGACGAATCGCAACACACAACCAACTTCTCATAACCGCAAAAGACACAAAACTCAAGTCGTGGTCTAAACCGCCATAACTCTTCTAGGATCCATTTCTATATAACCAAGACATCTGAATCAAATACTCCCAAATCAATCAAATTACGATGGCTGTCAAGTCCGCGCACACACCGCGAATCGCCCGTATAGCTTAACACACCGAAGGAACTGATCATCTCCACAACCATGTTGATTCAACCATTAATAACTAACTCAACTTCTTCCAATTTACTCTTGACTTGCCTTCGAAATAATAATTCTATTCAAACATATTACGGACCCCAAATAACACTCATCCCGAGTGCAGTCACCCACTCTGACCTGGTCCCGAATATAACCAAACTCTAGTACTCTGTTAGCACATGAACACTCCCAAAGAAGCAACCAGATGAATTTTTTTCCTTGTACATCACATTCACAAGAAGCATAAACTCTACCAAGGCACACAACCACGTGACCCAATCGTAGACGGTGGTCTCCCCACTTAGCCTTAAGCAACAATCACATAAATCCAGAACCCACTATAACTCGTCCTCCTCAATGATCTCGCACCATTAATCCGCCAAATTTCTCGTGATCTCCTATTAAACTTTTCATAGAACATTCTGAATTATCAGCCACAATCGCACATCCGACCTCCTAACAGTCGCACTATCTTCTTCAAGTGGTCCAAGCTCACATCGCAGTACATGCCTCCCGCGAGGAAGAAAGCAGAACTCTTTGTAGGAATGTCATAAAAAATCACGCAACTGCTAACCTGTTCACATGGGATATCCCACCCGTGGAATTCCATATCGACATTTTCCAATGACATTGCCCTGGTTTCAACTACCACGACACCAATAAACCCTCCTGAGCCCATGCTCGCCACCGGCTGCAGGAGTCCATTCATTCCCCATTGGCATCAACTGAAGGTCCAACTATACGTTCCAAAACTCGACGTCGTGTTGCATCCCAAAACGATAATCAAGCTTCCACACCCCTCTTCGTTCCAAGCAAACTCTTTTCTGTCATAATCAAACTTCCTCAGTACAGTAGTCATTATCCCAAATGAAATTCATACACTTAGTTATTGTCCACCATGGTCCCCAAATCGCTCTAACCTTTCTCAAGGCATGTGTCTATCCTACCACATAATCCATACGCTACTCTGCCACTCCCACCTCGGCTAAACCATCTCCTTAGGCAACTTTTTGACCTCTATTGTTCATACTTGACCTGCTAGCAATTCAACCACAACGAGACACCTCCCACCATGTCCTTCCTTATCCTTTGGTGCCAATACTGCCTCAAATCATAATCCATCTTTGTAGCACCCGAACGTATAAATTGCCACCAACTCTAAGCCTCCATAAAGATCATCTCCCTCGAGCCATCAACATTAGAAACACTGATTCGACTCTGAAGCCGCCATACACCGCCATCTCTGATAACCGCTGCTTAGGCACCAGTCCACAACAATGTTGGACAACGACACCACACTACAATGAGAATTCCACCACGTTCAAAAATATCAAGTCTCGCTACTCCGTCAATCAAGACCTGATCACCCATAGTCCAATTGCCTTTTCTCCGCTGGAACTAAATGCCGAACCTCTAAATCATGGACCGAAAAATCATCTTTTCGAGTCATTCAGTGCCGCAAAACATAAATAAGCGTCATACCATTTATACCAACATTGTGCAGTAACAATGCATGGATATCATAATACACTGTGCATAGCCCCAAAATCATAGGCAACACTAGCACTAGGCTGTAACGACACCGCACCCTTCCACAAGTTCCCGGCGCTTAAATTCCCCCATCTGCTTTTACATTTCTTCTCCAGGCCAGGGTCCAACACTCCAACTATTTAGGAAAAAATGGCAGGAGACGATGAACGAAGACTCAAGATTCGCCCTTGTCTTAAATCTCAAAGTTCCTTCAATAATTATCCCAATTGGAAATACAAGGTTCCGTTTTTACTTGTAGAATACCCGTTCATAATCTGTTTACATTTGGGGGATTCAATATTTTTTCGTAAACTGTTTGTAGCTCCGAGAAAGTTGTTACAGAAGGGTCCGAGAAGATCGAAGCCGCCTTCTTTGGAAATTAAGGTTCGCCAACGACCAACAACACAAGGTTTTTACTAATTTCTCATATCCCAAAATATTTCATCTACTCTATGGGAACTGATGAGTTATTGTTTCATTATTGATGTTTCTCTTATGTAAGCATTCAATGGTAGATCCAGTATTTGAAATTTATGGGTTCCAAAAGTGACCTCAAAGTTAATACTACAACAATAACAAGGCTTCACACTTAATATTTATAGATATCTAGTGTATTTCTTAATATGTTTACAGGGTTTGGGCAAAAGCTATTGAGTTCACGTGTAACCAACACCATAGATCTGCCCCTTTCTGTAACTGCTGTCTGTTGAAACCTTTCAAAAGAATTACCCGGAAACAATGGAGGGTAATCGAGTTCTCTTCATTTGTCAATATAAGTTCCATACCTGTTATTTGTTGAGTAGTGAATTCTGGCAATTAGCTAATAAGCAATTCGAAATGGGCCGAAATTGATATGTTATCTGAATTGGCACCTCAATTCATTATAAGACTGGATCAATCACTGGCTAACGATTCGTAGATAGGGGTTTTCTATTGGTAGCACTAGTGGTGGCAAAATGGATAAAAGAAAATAGTTATCTACCCATATTATCCATTAAATATGGGTTGGATAATGAACTATTTAAAAACGGTTCAAATATGGATAAGAACCATATTATCCACTTAGAAAATGGATAACCATGGATAACTAATGAGTTTAACTTTTACATTTGTAAAGCTTCAAATTGAGGGTTCCTCAATATTGAGAGACTATGAATTCTCCCAAAAGTGATCATATACAAGAAGCAATGGATAATATGGTTATCCATATTATTCGACGGTTAACCTGTTTTTTTATTCATATTAAATATGGGTCGGGCCAGATAATTTATCCGTTTTTTGTATTACCCGTTTTCGACCCGTCCCATACCAGACCCGACCCCACCCCACCCCCATCCCCCGCTTGCCACCCCTAGTTAGCACTAGTGTGATGTGTACCTTTTACCACAATTGCACTGTGGCTTAATCTCCTGGTACGTCTGGTTGAAAGAGTGGTTTTCCTTCTTTTGCGGAAGGATAAGATGGCATGATCTATTTTCTTTTTGCAAACCCTAATTTGTAATTCAACCTTAGTCTATGCATTGATTAGTCAGAATGGATGATAAGTCATGCAATCACATTGCTTCCATATGTGTACTTGTTCCATAAATATTTCATGCAACTGGTCAACATTCTTTGGTTATATCATTCCTCATGTTTCCCTTTTTTTGTCTGCAAGGGTATGCTAAATTTCTAGCACAGATCTTTCTTTGTCAAAGCTTCCTGAAAAGTATTTAGATATCTTTACTTTAAAAAAATTAAGTAAAGAGGCAAAAACCCAGCGAGGCATATTATGGCTGATCCCATGTCCATAGCAATGCCTGGAAAGTGGGTATGGAGGATTTTATAGAATGTCAATCAAAAGCAGACATGCTATAACCTTGGTGTCAATGTCTCTTTGTTGTTGGCTCAGAAAAGTAAGTGAAACAGCAGTTGAGTTTGTTGTACGTCACTTAACAACAACAAGTGATCTCTAAGTTCTCGCAAGGTGATTTTCTTTGGTACTGATTGGTAAAGATCGGACAGTAATTGTCTTTGAGGATACTGTTGTCTATCAGACTATAAATCTAGGTTGTAAAGCTCATTGTGGTAAACCGACAAGTTTCTTCTCTGGTATGTCTATTGGTGTCAAGGGGTATCAAAAAACCTTATTAAATGCTGGGGTAGACATTTTCTGGAGACAAGTCCTCACTAGGTCATTACATCTGAAATATCTTTTATCCCTACTATTTTTGCTATCTTTTTATGTATATCCAATAGGATCCTAGACTAGACTCCTATACATCACATGTTTGTCATTTATCTGCTCTTCCCTTGTAAACCAGAGTTGGCTTTTAAAATTTTATACACTTCTAAAGCGTGGTATTATTGTCAGTTTTCTGAATGTGGTCATCAGTTATACTCCAACTTGTCCCACTTTGTGTTTTTAACAGAAGGTAATTAGCTTGTTCAACAACAACAACATACCCAGTATAATCCCACAAGTGGGGTAATTAGCTTGTTCCTTGAACTTACATTAGCCTGTGTGGTTGCAGAATCTCATCAGGTCATCTCTAGAGGACATAGTTTCTGATGAAATACAGAAATTTAAGAACTCATATCACAGCGCGAGTCTTGATAATTCAAAATTCTCCCCGGCACCTGATAATACTGTATGGGAATATGATGGCCTTCATGAAGCTTATCAAGGTGATTGTGAGGAAATGTTGCTCGAAATGCAGAGGATTTTTTATGAAGATCTCAGGGTGGAAGAAACAAAAGGTAAAGGTCTTTCACACATCATCTGGAATTAGGTGCTCTCCTAGTTGTGGGTTTAGAGAACGTCATAGTGTTCCGAGTAGAGATAATCTACTTTATATAAGCTCAGGAAAAAGAATCCAGGCGTTATTGAGGAGTTTAGACTCACTCATTTCGTCAAAGTTTGAAGGTGACATAAAATCATGAACTGTCGTCTGCCAATGCCAAATGGAACTAGTTTTTTGTTTCCTTTTCAGTTTTATCCTTTTCGTGGAGGAGGGATTCTTTTAGGAAGATAGATTGACCTGTATTTTGAGTTAGATTGCTCTGGCTTCTTGCAGAACAAGGTTCCACTGGAACTTGGGAAGATGAAGAAGACGAGTATTTGGCT